CTTAACCTTGGTTTGTAGTGTCTCTTAAGAGATGTTTTTTTGTTGAGATTATCTATTTGGCCTTTAACCCTACTTGGCTGAGCGACCTTTATCTTGTATTGTCCAAATTTGGGAGTTCGAACATGTTGATCGGTTGCTCCTTTTTCGTGACTCTTTCCGCTCGATCTTAGCAACTCGATCTTAGCAACTCGATCGTCCGGCCATACAGTACATGTATACTTTTGCCAATCGTTTTACTTTATTAAGGTTAACTTATGGGAGTAATAATCTCCTTTCCTCCTTTAAGGAACTTTTCTTAAAGAGAGGAATTAATGAGTTTCTCAAGGAACTTGTGAAAGTTTTAATATTTCTCTATCTTTCATTGTGTGGAGAAGGTGCTTATTCCAACGCTTATGTCAGTACTAAGTATATGTATTTATAGGTTTTTGTACTCCTAGAATAAAGTCTTAAATAATCAAAACATATATTTAGCTACAGAAGTGTTTGAATAATCAATTATTCATCCAAGTTATTTAAATATAACCAATTCAGGTATATTTAAATATATTGCCAACTATATTAATGTATATTACAAATTAAAATCCTCATGATGAATATAATGTAAGTCTTAACTTTAATGTTTGTGACTTATCTCCTTATGATGTAGGCTTTCCAAATTTTCATACGAATTCATACCTAGAGGAAGGAGAAAGACTTAAACAAACGAAATAATAAATAAATAAAGGAGAAAATAAACTATATGACTCATATAAACTATAGAATATCCTAAAGAAATAAAAGAACATTTATCAACCTTGTTGAGATTGGTAGCGCGCAGCGGAACGTCTTAGAGAGCGTGATAATAGTCATTAACCAAGAGGGGAGGGATAAATTGGTTCTTTTAAAAATTATGATTTTCTTTTAGGACTTTTATCAAAAAATTTAAACATAAAAGTTATAGAGTCAAAGAAAATCACACAAAAATTTTTATCCTTGTTCAAATCAACAAATTCTATGTCCAGCCGTTAATCACTATAAATAGTGAGTAACCTTTTCCACTAAACTATTGTTTCATATTACAAACAGATTATACAAAGAATAAGAAAGAAAAAACACCTTCCTTTGACACACGATGGAAGAACCTAGCTCAATCAACTTGAAGAGAATTGCTTCGACTTTAGACACACTAAACGCAAGTTTTTCCTTTTCACAAGACTTGATCGAACTCTCTAAGACTTGAGAACTTCCTCAGAACTATTCTGTATTCTCAAGATGGCTTAGTTTCCTTTTCACACACAGAGATTTTCCCTTAGGCACACAACTCTAATACTCTTAAATGAAAAGTTACCTTCTAAGAATTGTGGAGAACTTCTATTTATAAGCCAAGTTTCGAGCTGGGTCAAAAATTGAAAAGACATCTCTCAACTATCAATGATAATCGATTATCAAAAGTGATAAATGATTATTTCAGGCCATTATGGGTTTTGAAAACCCGTGATAATCGATTATCCTTAGTGATAATCGATTATTTTCGAACCCTAGACAATATCAAAACTTGTGATAATCGATTATCCCCTATGATAATCGATTATTATTGCGACAAACCCTTTTCTAATTTTGCATGTGATAATCGATTGTGCCTTGAGATACACGATTATTATCGCAACATAGTTATACTAAAAAGCAATTTACAAGTCTTCTTATGATGTACAAGTGAAAGAAAAAGCTTAATACAAGGTTTTCTACAAAAATGCTTTAACTATGTAAGTAAATAATTCTTCAAAACTTCAAGTGCATCATCATCAAAATATCTGCAAATCATCAAAGCTTCTCATTGGTTTCAAACCTTAGAAGACTAATATGGGATGTTCATGGTAAAGGAATAAGTACATGAAGTGTATCTTCCTTCAACATGTCACTTTCAAAGCCATATGCTAGTTGAAAATGATTCCAATCCAAGTCACTTTTAAGTGTGCGTGTAAGGTTGAAACTAGTTGATATATCTTCTCTTTTCAAGGAATGTCTTGTGTTTTCTCCTTATGTATTCCTCCACCTTTCAAAGGTTCAACAAGGGTCATCCATGTGTTAAACCAGATTAAGGAACTAATTTTGTGTTAATCATAGAATTAGTGAGACATTAAGTGTAATTACTAGCTTAAACATCATTAAAAGGCTTGTATGCACATTACATGTTATCATTACTTTTTGTGTTCACACTTAGGATTTTTTTATTCTTGTGTTTACATTGTATGAAATCCATTTTATTCTCCACTTTCCCAGATGGTAACTCTATATAAGGATGACTAAGTCTTTCTTGTATTTATAATTAATATTGAATGAAAACAAGTTTTGTGTTCATAAAGAATTTCTTCAAATGTCGAATCCTCCTTCGAAGATGGTGTGTTCTTTCTTTTTTCTCGTCTTATTTTACTCTCTTTTTTCTCGTCTTATTTTACTCTCTTTTTTCTATAGCTTACATGGAGAAGTCACAAGCAATTTGTATTCTTTGATGGATTTTGTCTTTTTCAATACCTTTTTAAGTTGATAGATCCACTCATCTTTCAAGATATTAGGGAGTAGTCTCATAAACTCAAACTTTCATATTTTTTAAAAAAAATTATGTTTAATGGCGTGCCTTTAATTACATGCAAATGAGTGATTTAGAATGCACATGTTTGACCACAAATTCCAAAAGAAAGAAGCGACAATTTAATATTCAAAATTTTAAAAAATAAATAAATTAAAAAGGAGCTCTCCTATTGGCAAAAATGGGACCATGTTTCCTGTAATTACTTACGGTTTTATTGCTTCCTTGGATACATCTTTCTTACCTTCCATTGATTATTACTTGATAGGTCTTTTATTCTTCGTGCCCTCTTTCATATGCTTTTTGGAGATGTATTTAGACTTGAAAAACCTCAAATTAGATATTTACTACTTACACTACTCAAAAAGCACATCATAAGTTGACAAGTTTAAGAAATATCAAATAAAGAGAAAGAACAAATATTTTGTCAAGCAAGAAAAACTTGTCTTTCAAACTTCTTGTCATTCTTCAAGGAGTAATGTGTTTTACTCGTATTCTTCTTGTCTATTTTGTAATGCAATATTTCTTTGCACTCATGAACTTACCAAGTTTTTGTAATACACTTGGAGAAAAACTAATAGATATCAATATCTTGCTTAGTTCTTCAAGATTTAATTGAGTTTATTAATGTGAGTCTTAAGGTGTACTCTCTTTTGTATGAAGTCCAAATGAACTTTTTTTTTAACAAAGCTTGTTACAATTGAATTTTTCCATGAAGAGCTTCTTCAACCTCAATCACAATGCAAAAATAACCTCATCTATTAGTGACAAAAGGACCATCAAATGAACATTTTTCTCCACCTACTCTAAAGCATGCTTCTTTTTATGTGTTGTATTCTTTAAAAGTGATGTTGACACTCCCTGATCCTTGAACAAGACTATCATTTTGATTTTCTATAGCTTAAAATTGTTCCTTTCATTGAATTTGTCGATCATGGATGTAATATCGATCTTCATCCAAAAACTTGTCATAAATGTAAAAGAAACAATACAATATTGATTATTAATCACACCAGTAAAAGATGCAAAACAAACATCACACAAAGTAAGATAAAAATGAATAATCATCTTGTGTATTAAACAAAATAATTATTAAATTACTTCTTCAAAATTCGTCCAAGTACAAATATTATAAAACAATTACATATTAATTAGAAATACACAATAACAACTAACATAAAAAAAATGTATATAATAAATTATCGTTTCACAAGATAATGTAATATTAAATCATCAAACAACCCATCATTGGAAAATGTCTATAACTATTAGACACCTCAACAAGTAAACCATGTCTACAATCATCAACAACTACATTAAATTAATTCAATATATCAAAATTTACATAAAGTATACTATCTAAAACTATATCTAAATTAAGTAATCCATAATATAATTTCATATTGTGTGAGCTAAAATATAGCAGCAAAAACGAGAATTTAAAATATATAGTTGTAGGGCATATAATTCATTGCATAATTTGAAATATAGTTCTTGGTTATATAATCCAAGTTATAAATTAAATTCAAATATTCAGATTAATATAACATCCATAACATTTTAGTCGTTTAGTCGTTTTCTATATTTTTAGTTGGTGAAGAAAATATGTGGCGGTGTAAGGTGCAGAGTAGAAGGAAAAATACATAAATGAAACATTTACAACACTCCGTTCCCTCTCTGCCTTTTGTCTCATGTATATACTCTCACTTCCACATCAGCATTGTTTTTATTGTGCAGCCTATTAACGTGAAAATTGTCAACATTATCCATTGTCCTATTGCACCTGTAAATCTAACAAACAAAGGCATTCTTTGCAAATGCCTTTGAAAACTCCTATACTATCTCATGTTAACTGACTCAAAAACCCTTCATTTCCACCATTTTCTTGTTCACAAAAATTTACAATACAAAAAGGGACCAAGAAAACAAGAATGCACTGTCATAATATTAACGTTGATATTGTACGCATGATACTTGAACCTTACAAGTCTAGTCCTTTTTTGAAAAGGAGGAAAATAGTCAATTTGTCATAAAAAACCACAGTACCCCTAGTATTCAAAACTCTTAATGGAAACAAATGACAGTTCAAATCACAACTAAATGTACTTTCAGATTAACATTGAGCTGAATTATGATCCATTGAATGTGTTGGACTCACGGAACATAAACAGTAAGAAGAAGGAAGAATTGATCCTCCTCAGTTGAATAATAGGAATATAATTGGAAGTCAGAATAATGACAGTACTCCAGACTGAATTATGAGGCTTCATTTGTCAAAATAGATAAATGCTTCATAAGAAAACAGTAAGAGACAAGGAAGCATGATCAACACACATGTTTGTCACGGAAGAGGTTAAGGGTTTTACAATGTCTATGAACAGTTACTAAAGCAGTGACACACCACCTGAAACAATTATTAAACAAGGGGCCAAAATGACCGGTGAACTCATGAGCTAGATATAATCACATTCACACCGAAAAGCTAGGATAAACAAGATGGGATAATACAAGATAGTAGAACAAAAAAATCAAAAATACAAAAAAATTCAATGCCACTATCTACTGTTCATTACGGGATTGCAAATTGAAGCACGTACACTTATCTTTCATGGCTTCACCCTCACTTCCATACTCTTTAAATCTGTACTCTTCCTGCTTAAATGAAGAAGGCACCTTTCCCTCACTGTAGCATTGGTTACACACACTAAAATGAGATTTTGTCTCCTTAAACCGAGAACCAATAATTGGGTAGCGGCAAACCGAGCACACCGAGTTACCATGCCGGTTTCTATCCCCTGTCTCAAGCTTTGTTAGAGTAGGCATGATACCAAAACCCCAATCTGGATCATCAAACAATACTAGAAACTCGGAGAAAGACACCATTGAAGTGTCTGACTCCCCACGAACCTCCATTAATTCACTAACAGCTTGGCTAGGAAGATACACGACCCTTAACAATTTGATGTACAGAGTGGCATCAACTTTCCTAATACTAGCACCATCTTCATTCATAGGACGCCACAAAAGTGCATCGAAGGCAACCCTTTTGCGTCTGTCCGGAGGACCACCACAAATAGGAGCAAGAATTGCATAGAACATTCCTAGGTCCAGCCTGCCTGAACCATTTTCATCCAAAACTGAAAGAATCCTCTCGTTGATGGCTTTCACAGCCCCTTGAAAAGTCTCAGGCTTCAGAAAACTGAGTAATCTGCGAAGAATTTCTTCCAAATTGGGCTTCCGGATGGACTTTTCAGGAACTCCACTACCAGAATAGGATACTGACACATCACGTTCACTCATCTCCTTCTTCAAAAGCTCTACACTGCAACGACTCAACCTAGTTACCCTCTGAAGCGCTCTGATCTGCAGAGCAGTGGCTAGCTCTTGCCTCCCAGTAGTCCGATCTCCAACTACCTTAAACTTGGATGGTTCAACTATAACAAAAGATGCCTCCCCAGGAACACCTCCATTACTTGCTTTGGTCTTCTTTTTCTGCAGTTGCTTCAAATGCGATATTGCATCATGCAACTCAACCCTATTCGTCATTTTCAACGCTTCCTTCAAAGCTCTTTTGGCCTCTTCAGTCTCCCCAGCTCCCAGCAGTGACACCGCTTTGTTCAGCTGTGCTCGCCAATGGTTTGGCCACACGCCCAATACTCGAGTGTACATCTCAGATGCCCTCTGAAACCTACCCAGGTCCATATACAACCCACCTAAATTGTAAAGGGCATCCACATGACCAGGCTTCAAATCAATAGCCTTCTGAAACACCTCAATTGCCCTCTCATCCTCACCCATGGCGTGTAACGCTGAGGCCAAATCGCAGTGAGCGTCAGCATAATCCGGCTTCATGAAAATTGCCTCCTCCAACGCCTTCACTGCCGCTCTATACTCCCCCACACCAAAAAGTGCACTACCTAAGAGCTTCAAGGCTCTAAAATGTGTGGGACAGAGAATCGCTGCTTCCCTATAATACTCACAGGCACTCAAAACCATCCCTTCACCCTCAAGGGCGATGCCGAGGTTGACATAAATCTGGGGAAGCAAGTAAGCCCATTGGTTGCCACCAGCCTCAGCAGACTCAAGAGCCAAGAGGAACTCCTCCTTGGCCTCCTTGTACCTGCCAAGAACATACAAACAATTCCCAGCTCTGAAATGAGGCCTCACATCCACAGGTTGCAACTCACAAGCCCTCTTGAAACTAACCAATGACTCCTTAAACAACTGATGCTCATACAAAACTCTCCCAATTGCCATGTGCCCATCAAAAGCCTCTTCTCTTGACCTAGCACCATCAGCTCTCCCTCTCAACGCTCCCAATTCCTTCAAAAAAACTGTATAATCCTGCCCTGACTCCTCCCAAAACACTCTCTTCTCCGTAATCTCGGAAGAGGGCCCTAATTCGCGAGACCACCCGGCATCTGAATATGCGTCAAAGTTGTCATTCTTCAATTTCCCACCTTCCTTTGACTGCTTCGTCTTCAGCCTCTTCACAAGAAGCTCCAAATCATCCACAATCTTCCACGTCTCGTCGAACACGATCCCGTGGTTTGGCGACACCGCCCAGGCGGCCGTCCGCTGTTTCTTCTGGGTCTCCACCGCCATTCTCTCGTCCACGATCGACGAGGATGACGCCTCAGACGCTGCAAGGGGCTCCTTCACAGCGTCTGCCACGAGGTCGAGCCCAAGCGCGTCGAAATCACGGTCGACGTCACCGGCGCCGTCGTCGTACGTGCGCAACAGACCCTCGTACGTGAGACCCTTGTCGCCGTCGATGAATTCGCCGTACGTCCGGAACACCTCGTCAAGGATCGCGCTGATTTGTTCGTCGCTGAACTTCACCCTAGGGTTCACTGCACCCACCAGCGACGCCATTTCCTCACGGTTGAGACCCCCATCACGGTTCGCGTCGAATTGATTGAAAATTCGCCGAACCTTCTCCGATCTGGTGCCCCTCGTCGCCATTTCCGGAGTCAGAATGGAAGCTTAGTGGCGGCAGGTGCGATGGGTCTGTGCCAGTGACGTTGTATCTGGGGAAATTAAAATAAAACAAAAACCTAATTTTTTTTTATAAGAGCTTGAAATTGGAACCCCCAATGAAATGTTTTGGGGTCATTAGGATTTGGGATTGGAATCAGAAGGCGTTGCTTGTGGTTGATGATAATGATGACTGGTGGTTGGTTGTGTTGTGGGGTTGGGATTACCAGTCAGAGGGACCATTTCAAAGGGGGCATGATTTTTCAATTCGGAACCCTAATTTTATGTTTCGAATCTTTTGTTGAGATTTGGGGTTCTGTTAGGGTTGGACCTGATTGTTGGTGATGATGATGATGGATGGGTTGTGTGTGGGTGGGAGCAAAAGGGATGAATGATGGGACCAATTCTAAAGGCAGTGATTTTTTTAGGTTTTGAAAATTAAAACCCTAAATTGCTTTTTGATATCATTAGGTGTTGATTTGGGATTTAGGATCCACCCATTAGCTGTGTTTATGGTTATTTTCGGTTTTGATTTGTCAATTTCAACTCAAGCTGTAAAGGGGGTGATTATTGAAGAAGAAATAGAACTCCCACACTTTATCTATATCAATCTTAATACTTTTTTCTTATTATAGTTTATATGACGTGATTATAATGGTGGGGCTTAATTAGTTATTTTGAGTTAAGTAATGATCATTATGGGTAGGTAATAAATAAATACATCTGTCAACCAAAATTTGCTCTAAATAATTTATTTTATGCTAATCATTGCATTATTTCAATTAATGGGTTTTATTCTATAGAATATAAAGTTATTAGCTTTTGTCTTTGTATGCAGAAAAGTTATACATTGTCCAACAACTTGAGTTTTTAGTGTACACTTTAAACTCGTTAATTTTATAATACAAACCTATTGTGCATTTATAAATGAGTGCATAATTCTCACTCTTCATAAGGTCAAGTAACATTTAAAACAAGAAATGCTAGAAAGAAAAAATAATAATACTAAATAAATTATAAGTTAAATATGGTTTTACTTTTATAGTTAAACAAACTTTATTATTTAGTTTAATTTCTTAAAAATTATATTTTTTTTAAATAATGTATTAATGTTAATGAACATTGAAAAAAAGAGAAAAGAATAAATGTCACCATATTAAATTGTCATAGATAGTAATAAAAAGTTGTATTATGGAATATCAGGGAGAGCGGATGGGAATAAGTTCCCTCTCCTCCTATAGAAAGAATTTATTTTCATTTTCATACTTAAATTTAGGGTTAAATATGTTTTTAGTCCCTAAATTATTGGTCGTTTCTGGTTTTCGTCCCTCTTTCAAAGTAAGGTACAATTTGATCCTCATTCTTTTCGAAACGTTCGTTTTAGTCCTCGAAAACTAAACACTGTTTAAAAATTTGGTCCTCATTTAGCAACAAATGAAGACTAAAACCAAAATTCCGAGGACTAAAACGAACGTTTTGAAAAGAATGAGGACCAAATTATACCTTACTTTGAAAGAAGGACGAAAACCAGAAACGGCCAATAGTTTAGGGACTAAAAACATATTTAACCCTTAAATTTAATATAATCAAATT